CCCAATTTCATTTTATTAAACACCTTACTGGGCTTACTGAACAAAGTAAAGTCACTATTTATNTTTCTTTATCTATAGATAAATATTTGGTTGATTCAGTTTCAATTCATGTAAATAACGCTAAACCCGATTAAAAAGCTCCGAAATCAAGACAAATCCTGCTGCAGTAATTATCGAAAGTGAACTATCACCACTATAAACTTACCGCATTTTCCTCACTTGCCTGAAGTTTCACATCTGAATGAAGTTTGGTTAATTTGAAGACACTACCATAATATGTATTTTTGAAGAGTTGATTGGAACCATGTTTCACGTGTTGTTCCGAAAGACCATAAATGCTGTTTGGAAATCCACGGTTAATTTCCTTAGGAAAAGCGTTAAGACCACAGATATTACTATTTTAAAAAGAGACAAACACCTAGTGTAGACAACTGTAGTTGAAAAGGTCTGAATTTAATTTTTTAGTTCGATTGTTTGATTTTCTGAAAACCGCGTAATTTCACGTTTAAATCCGTACGCTGAAATTTGAATTTTTAGGTCGAGACGGTTTTTGATTGCTTGCATTCATTAAAGAATATTTTCAAAAACTAACCCAATTTCATTTTATTAAACACCTTACTGGGCTTACTGAACAAAGTAAAGTCACTATTTATTTGTTGAATGTTTTATTTTATTTTCTCTTTTTTTTTTACCTTCACAGGCTCGCAATAAGGGATCAATTTATTTTTGCTTTCATATGATGTTGGGGGCTAAGAGAAGTCTATGAGACCGGGTTGGTCAAGGATACATTTCTCACTATTAAAAAATCATTACTGAAAAAAGCTAAATAGGCGACCGGTAGCTCTTAATTTGTCAAACCGAGTAGAAATTGATTGCACTCTAACGAATGAAAGCGCTCGAAGCGTTATTTTCAAGTAACAGCTGTTAACATTAAACGTTTGCCTATTAACTTAATCAACTAGTATCACAGTTTTATCAATAAAGATGTGAATTATATTAGCCACCAGCCTTCTATTGTCTTGTTGAAACTAAATAGTTCAAAGAACTCTCTACTGTACACAAGAAGCCCCGTCCCAAAACAGAATGAGAGTTTCGCACGTTTTCAAACTCTCCACGTCATCAATTACATAGTGCTAGGCGGAATATAATGTCTTGATACGATAAAGAAAAGCATATCATCACAGCAAAGTGACATTAAATATTTTTTAATACGTTCAAAAGCTATTAAGGCCAAGATTAAGTTAAGGATCGATTTTATCAGTCATTCTCTTAGTGGCAACTGAAGGTGTAAATATTCAGATGTGGCGTCACATTTCACACCAGTAATTCGTGTTCCAAATGTTCTGTTACTATTCCAGTTCCGTGTGGCCAAGACGAGTTTCTCTATTGTTTTTGACCTGAATAACTTGGGGTGCATAAGGGGTATCACGAACGACCTCAATACGGGCCACCCAACCAAGCGAGGGATCCTTCACATGGACATTCATTGTCTCCTCATCATATTGGGCTGTGGCTTTAGGCATGCTATCGGGTATAAACACTTTTACCCGTGGTAGGCCGTCTTTGCTGAGGTCAGTGATCTGGAAATTCACTTTAAAAAAAATGAGTTTGGCGTCGCTCGCTCGGAGGAACTAGAGATGAATCAGTGAATAACACAGGATATTCACTGATTGAATAGCCAATCAGAGTGCGTGAAAAAACACTATCCACTGTTTTAGTATATATTAAATATATT